TAACGGTTCGTTAACTCGTTAACGGTGCAAAATACCACCCTAAAGAGGTAAATTTTCGGCATCAGCGCATCGAGGATATAAGTAAAGTAATCTTGCATCGAGGAGGCCCTGTATACCGATTTTCAGCCAAATCGAAAGACCCCAAAAATTTGCTGCTGAAATCGATATATGCTGCTGAAATGTTAACGGTTCGTTAACTCGTTAACGGTGCAAAATACCACCCCAAAGAGGCACATTTTCGAATTCAGCGCATGGAGGAGGCCCTGTATACCGATTTTCAGCGAAATCGAAAGACCCCGCCGTTTCCCGTTAAAATGTTATTTGGTCGTTAACTCGTTAACGGTGCAAAATACCACCCTAAAGAGGTACATTTTCGGAATGAGCGCATCGAGGAGGCCCTGTACACCGATTTTCAGCCAAATCGAAAGACCCCGCCGTTTCCCGTTATAATGTTAAATGGCCGTTAACTCGTTAACGGTGCAAAATACCACCGCAAAGAGGTACATTTTCGGAATCAGCGCATCGAGGAGGCCCTGTATATCGATTTTCAGCCAAATCGAAAGACCCCGCTTTTTCCCGTTTAAATGTTAACTGGCCGTTAACTCGTTAACGGTGCAAAATACCACCCCAAAGAGGTACATTTTCGGAATCAGCGCATCGAGGAGGCCCTGTATACCGATTTTCAGCCAAATCGAAAGACCCCGCCGTTTCCCGTTAAAATGTTAAATGGCCGTTAAATCGTTAACGGTGCAAAATACCACCCCAAAGAGGTACATTTTCTTAATCAGCGCATCGAGGAGGCCCTAAATACCGATTTTCAGCCAAATCGACAGACCCCGCCGTTTCCCGTTAAAATGTTAAATGGCCGTTAACTCGTTAACGGTGCAAAATACCACCCCAAAGAGGTACATTTTCGGAATCAGCGCATCGAGGAGGCCCTGTATACCGATTTTCAGCCAAATCGAAAGACCCCGAAATATGCTGCTGTGAGGCTGATATTCGTTGCTGCTGAATTGATAGACGTGCCCGTTGTCCCCTCGCCCTGCGGCATATTTACGTCTGGACAACGAGTTGCGGGGAAAAGTGCTGGGCCCTGTTCATGAAGTCTGCGGCCGCTGCGGCCGGCCGCAGGCTCTAAGCTCCGCCCATTTTTGAAACGTCATCACTCACTCGGCCGCAGCAGCGTTCCATGAACAGCGTCTGCTGTCGAAATAGTTTCCGACAATTGTTAACAACTGAAGGACACCGTTAGATAATTTGTTTACAAAATCGTCTCCATGACAACACGGCTTGCGCCTATTTGACTTCAGTGCGCCAAGTTCAGTGCAATTAGTTTTCTTGATGCTCGGCGGTCGCTGGATTGCGGCCGCAGAGATCGCAGCGGCCGCAGCAAGATGACGTCATACATTCGTCATACTACATGAGCCCCGCCCCTTTTTGTGACGTAACAACCCGGCTGGCCGCAGCGACCGCAGCGGCCGCAGCGACCGCCGGGGTTCATGAACAGGGCCCTGATTTTGCCGCAGTTTTAGGAGCCGGTTATTAGGCTGGATTTTTGGGTTACTTTTTCGTTCTGATTCCTGTATTTCATGGTTTTTGGCTTTTGAATATTTAAGTTCTTTCAGAGAAATATTAATTGCCTTACAGATTTTGTGAAAATGTTTCAGTTTTTATGAGCCGACCGCTAGAGTCCTAAAACAATACATCAGCACTACAATTATTGTAAACAAACAAATGGAGCACCACTTGGCTCCGTTCTGCTCAGTTCCAAGGCCTTTTTTAAGCTTATCTGATGGTTTTCGCACTCTTGTATGTCGTTTTGTTGTAAGTTTTGAATCTCTTGTGACTGAATTATATCATATTAAAGAAGGATGTTGACTGAAAACAATCCCAAGTTGAAGTATACAGGAGGCTAAGAGTCCTGAGTTGTTAGTCCTGAGTAATATCAGGTTGAAGTTAGGAAATGTTGGTTGATAAACGCAAGTTGATCTGGCTCACTTATCAGCAAGAAAAAGTAAAATTAAAAGAGCTTATTGGCCGAAAACAAGCTATAATATTGTAGGAGATCAATACTGAAGAGCACGCGCAGTATCAAGCCAGAAAATGTCAGTCGGGCGTACTAGGGTAATTCCGTTCCATATATAGAAACGTTTCTATATTTGGAAACGATGTTCCATATATAGAAACGCTTGTTCCAAATATGGAAACGCTGCGTTTCTATATTTGGAAACGGTAGGTGCACGCTCACCTGTTTGACGATCTTCGCAAGCTCTGGCGAAATTTCGCACAAAACGGTTACCACCAGTGACAAGCCAACATTTGAGTTTATAATCGCAAGGAGGCCCGAAGAAATCCATGGTGGCCCATGGTAATGACGACAATTTGATTTCCGGTTTGTGTAAAATGTAGAAGAAATTGCGAATAAGAGAAAAACTTCCATTAAGGTTTCCCTTCAAACATGACGTCCAGAACCTGATTTGGGCTGATTTTTGGCAGAATATTGGCTAATTTGGGCTAAATAGATGTTTTAAGTTTTGGCGAAATTGACATGTCGTTTTCACCTTAGTGCTTCCTTGTTGCCACTAGATGGCATTCCACCATCTAGAAAGTTATTTAACGCATCTTGCTTTAAAATAAATCGTCCGGAAGGTTGGCGTTTCTATTTATGGAACGAGCGTTTCTATATATGGAACAAAAAACATTTCAAATATAGAAACGTTTCCAAATATAGAAACGTTTCTATATATGGAACGGAATTACCCTAGTGCGGCCGACTGATGTTGGCTGATGAACGCGTATTGATGTATTGGTATGAATATTGAAATATTACTTACAGCAGCAAGATCAATGAGTGCTAAAAGTCAAGTGAAAAAATCTAGAAGGAACAAACCTGGGCAGCTTTACTTTGCTATGCAGATGGTAATGTGCATTACTCAGTGTCTGGCAAATGAAACATGCGATCATTCTATTGCTACTGGAAGAGAAAGCTTGGATCACTAAATCAGCTTTATAATGTTTAATTTGATGTTCATCATTACTTTGCATTTCTTGAAAAAAGGATTTAAGTAAAATTGTCAATGTGACAATCCATGCAACGATGTGATCATATCATGTGTTCCGTGATGGTGATTATTGGTTTAATATACAAAAGCAAAGCTGTCAGCATTTCTTTCTGTGGATGGCCAGAAGGGACTCAGAACTTGAGAAGTATTAGTTTTCTTCACAGGGCTGGGATAAAAAGTACTGCCAGGGTAATCTTCCAGAAAGGAACTTTATTTTGACTTGGTATGAGATGTAGGCACAAGTAGGTAGGTGCTCAGTACCTATAGTTTAGTAGTTATGTAGGTTTAGTTGTGTTAGCTAATATTAGGTCATGTTTTTTTTTTAATTTGCCAAGTGTCCATAAAAATGTGACCTGATCAATTCATACCTGACTAACCTGACCTAACCTCAATCATCACACTTATTTGCAACTTACCCAAGACCTGCATAGCATTAGCACCCAGTTATAGGTACTAGGTACCTAGGTACTCACCCTAACTCAATCTTACCTGCTAACCTTCAACTTGATAACAGTTAGCTCACCTTGCCAAACCACATCCAGGGAAACAGCCAAATGAGGAACTGGCTCATTGGGTGGCTGGTGTGAGTCTGTGCATTTTAAGTGTTTCTTCTCTGAAGCTGCTCTGCACTGCTGTATGCCATGTTAGATGCTCAGAAAAATGTGGGAAATGATAACTAAGCTAGTTTAGTGCTTTGTTCATGCTTGAGACATCAACAAGTGCAGGCTGAAAAAACGTGGCAGGTTTCAACGAGATCTCGTCGGGGCAGCTCTCACAATCGGGGCAGAAATCGGGGCAGCATTGAGAAATCTCGGGGCAGAGATGAGAAAAAGATGGGAAATGGGATGCCCCTGGGACCATTATACCATTTGGGAACCAGAATTGGGCTGCACCGCGTCTCTCAGCACCCTGATTTGGGGCAGAATTTCGTCTGCCCCGAAAATCTCGTCAAGCTCCCTGCCACCTTTTGCAGACTGGAACAAGTGCAAATCCTGCGGGGGTACGGCTATGAGCTAGGTGAGTATGTTATTTGAATATGCTGTTTGACTGTAGTAAATATACAAACAATCACAGGGTCACAGTTATATTCAATCTCCGCATAAACATACAACAAAACGCCCATAGCCTCACTCCGAGCACACAACAAATAACTTAAGCCTTTGCAAGCACAAAAATGTTTTGATTTACAGGATAGGTATACAATATATCCTCTGTCCTTGGGGATCTTGCTGCAAAGTTTGAGTTGAAGTAAGATGACTAAACTTCAGGTATGATTAACTTTTTCTTCTTAGCCACTGCTTATGTACGAGAAACACTAAATGCTTGGTTGATCAACGCCTTGAAAATTTAATGATCCATCTTCAATTCGACATGAAGGCACAAAGAAAATAGTTCCCACTTCTCTCTCCTCTTGGAATACACAAAGCAAAATATTTAATAACTTCTTCTTCTTAGTGGAGGGACATGGACAAGAGCAATTATCATGCTCAAGCTTCCCTTCAAGTTAACCTCTGGCAGTTGGCACTGATCACACCGATATTCACACGGACACCTTTGATCCAAGATAAAATTGAAATGTGTAAATCTGTCTAGTCAATCATGGAAGGAACGGATGAACTTGAGGTCAATATGATATTTTGCGATATACATCATCTTCACCTTGGAACTTTTTTGCAGGTTCGCTTCATATTTTGTAACAAACGCGCAAAAACTGCAATAAAACAGCACTATATGCTTCTGGACAAAATACAATGAAAGTAAAAACTTAGCTCTGATGGTATTCATTCTCGGCCAAAATCTAATTACAAAATATTTTATAGTAAGAACTAAATTTCGGCTAAAAACAACGCACGTTTTAAAAAAGAATCATTCCAATGACGGTCCATTATTGCGGTCCTGAAATCGCCACTATTTCCGGCCTCTCCAACGCAACTCGTTGTCCAGACGTAAATATGCCCTCGCCCTCCCTCCACAGCTTGTTTTCCATTGGAATTTGAATTAGCTTCTATAGAGCCTTGGAGTTAGCGACCTGCTATCATCCAGACAAAATTAAGGTAATGGTTAATCAAAAACATGCAAAAATATTAGGTATTGACCCTGTTCAGCCAATAGGATGTTAACATAAGAAGGAGACTGATTATGTTATCTGATTCTGACTAAGCTCAATGGGTACTTCAAGTTCTTGTTTTGTGCCAGAGGTATTATGTGCTAAGCAGGTGATATGATGGTTCAGGCTAGGCTAGGTTTTCTGGTTAGGACGTAGGGCATTTTTTTTTATAAATTTAGTCCGAATGGTTGAATGGGCGGACTTAGGTAAGGAGTCAGAGCCCGCACTAAGCATAGCTTGTTGTGCTGACCCTGACCCCACCACCCGATCGTGCAATACCAGTTGTATGGCAGGATTTTGATAATGTTTTGTTAAAAAAGAATCATTAGTCCCTTGATGTAATTGTGGCACATGCAGCACAGAGCAACATGTGCCGTAGTCTAACATAATCATGATTTTCCTCCTAAGTTCATGGACAACAAATCACTCTTTGAACGTCAATTCAGCCTTAGTTTGTCTCTTCTGACACTTGAACAGTCTGCTCCATGTGGCCATGCGCGGCTATGTGCCCACGTTAAACTTTTGACTATAAATTCTGCCATGGAACTGGAATTGCGCGATTGGAGGGTAGAGGGCAGGGTCACCTCAACAAGCTTCACTTAGCGGTGGCTCTGTCCTTGTGAATCCTTCCTATCAAAAGGCTCAGACTAAATTTATAAAAGAAAAAAATGAAGCTTTGATTTCTAAATCAATTGTAATTAGCACTGTCAATTTGAATTTGAACTTTGGCATTTTTCTTCAAACACATGTTTTTTCAACTCACCTGTTTAACTCACCTGTTCAAACTTCATTTCAGCTTAGATCCAGAAGGATAAAATAGCAAGATGGGAAATATTCACACTGTTGGACCCAATGAAGCTATGGTGGTGTCAGGTAAGTTTAGTTCAGACTATACTCTGTTCCGTTTCAAGTTTGCAGCTGAAGTGCCCTGCTAAAAGCAGTGCGTGATTTCTGTATATACAGCTCTTACATTTAAAGACATAAATTGTTGAGCGGAAGAGCGAGAGTGTCTTTTAACATAAAAATAGTTTGTCCTTACATGTATACAGTCTCTAACTCTAAATCATGTAATTTATCATAACATTGTATTTTATCAACAAATTAAAATGTAACCTCATCAGAATATGGCAGATGTGGATGTTAGTTTAATGCTGCATTGTCAGAGATGAATAAAAAACCTGTATGAAAGTGACAGTGCTGTGTTAATTTGGACTACCTAGACTCTCTCTTTCTCTCCCCTCCATCCAGCCCTCTCTCCCTCTTCTTCTTCTGCTCTTTAACACCACGCAGGGATCTCCAAGGGGTGTGCTGTGGGCCCTCCTCCCTCTTCCATCAATATTCTGTCTTATCTACATCCATCAATAATCCTCTGTGTGTTTCATTGACCTGCAGGTGGCTGTCCTCTGTGTGTTGAAATCCTCTGTGTGTTTCATTGACCTGCAGGTGGCTGTCTCAGTCCCACTGCAAGGAAGACAGTCATTGGAGGCTGGGCCTGGGCCTGGTGGTGTGTGACAGACGTGAAGAAACTATCCCTTGAGGTGAGCAGTGGGCATCAATGCTTGCTAAAAGCTTCCCTTATCTAGTCGAAACAATTCTAGTACTACATGAAATAATTAGAGCCCAGCTGGTAGTGTCTAATTTCTGCTGGTAGTGTCCTATTTCTGCTGGTAGGTAGTGTCTCAGTTCTGGTGATGATGTATGAGATTCCTGACTGGAATAGTTTGGGTTAGTGAGAGCCAGGGTTGTATACGACTCAAATTTTTGGTGAGTCGATTCAGAAGAGAGTTTCCTATAACCGAATCGACTCGACTCATGATTCCAAAAACGTTAATTGAAATGATTCGATTCAACTCTTGACTCAAACATGACAAGAAATATATGAATCAATTCGACTCATGATTCAAGCACATTTTCAGTTTAACGATTCGATTCAACTCATGACTCAAGGGTTCTGTTAAATAATTTGAATCGACTCATGACTCAATTCTGACTCAACTCATTGGACAGACTCATCAAATTATTCAACATAAAATGTTTGTGCAAACCCAAGAAATACAGGTAGGTAGTCGTAAAGCAGGCGTCACACTTATTTCTGCAACCATGGAGAGGCGCTGTACCCAGAGATGCTTTCTAATCAACACAAACCAAACCAAACCTAATCAAACCTGACCTACCCTAACACAACCTACAACCTAAAACCTACCACCTAAAACCTAAAACCTAAAACCTAACCTACAGCGCCTCTCCTTTGTTGCAAAAAGAAGTGTGACGCTTGCTTTACTAGGTAGTGAAATACATTCATGGGTGCATACTGCATATGTAATTCCTGACAACTAGTGAGCTATATACATGTAGATATTTTTAAAAAAAGTTAACATTAATCATTTTATTTATGTATGAAATAAAAATAAAGAAAAACATGTTGCTATTATTATTGAAACCACATAACACACTTTGCATACCTATAATGTAAATAAAAATGTCAGCAGCAAATCGATAGGTACCTAACTTGAACTACGTGCCAGCTGCAAGCCAGCACAGTATTGATTTCTAAATAAGAATGCAAATATGAGGCCTTTAATATATGACAAATATGAAACCAAATGTAAGGCTAATTAGAATCACAAAATGCAAAGAAAAAACATTTTGTTCATGCCCTGTTGCCTTGTGGCCTTGAGAATTTACCAGGACAAAGTTTAGGGCATAATCCAATAATGTAGTGTGATCCACATTTTAAAGGTATAAACACATGACGTCAATTATCCTAACCTTAGCTTTAGCTTGTCATAACTAATTAAACTCAAAATAAACAAACCAATTTTTATTAAATTTAGCAGAAAAATACAACACCAAGCCTAAAAATGGACGTTTGCGTTTATTATAAATAACAAAGTTAAATAAAACGTCACTTTCCAGTTGATTTGCGTTATGGTAGCGTTTTTTTTTTTAGCTATGGTAGCGCCGCTACGATTTTTTGCTTTTCCTTTACGTTTGAGATATGGCAGTAAATATGATTGTCGACAGAAATTGCTAATAACTTACAAATATTACTCTTATCTTTTCAAACTCGAGAAACATTTGTCCACGTTAATGACGTCATAAAATTTTAATTTGAAACCAAATCATGTTATATTTTTTCTTAACCTTTATCATATTATAATTTTCTGGCTAAAAAGATCAAGTTCTCATATCTTTTTAAATCTGTTCCTATTCATTTATCAGCTTGAATTAAATAAAAACTTCATTTTTCATCTTGTTTACGAATAGTTATTTGTGACGTCATGCGCGACCACGAATTAGCAATTGTGAGCCATCGGAAAAGAAAAATGTGAGGGTTATTGATGGTCTTTCTAGACAACTTTGATAGACAATTATTTAAGGTTTTATTTCAATTGTAAACTGGTATGCATCTCATACTTGTTAGTGCCCCTTACTAGCACTCACAAAGCTAACCCAATGTGAGTATTTCAGTAACAGTCCACAGATGTAGTGATTGCATATAGGTATAAATACAGGCTGAAGCAATTGCAATGCTGACTTGCCAAAGTTGAATATTATAGGTAGCTGATGCCAGCCAAAACATAAAAGGTGCTCACCACCTACTTCACTAGCAGTTTCATAACTTTAAAATAAGTTTATCTTACCTGGTGGCTGGAGCAGACTGTGACAAGTTACCTTGAATCGATTCAAAATGTGACTCGCGTTACCTTGAATCGACTCAAACTCTGACTCAAATGGCCTATACATATGTGAATCGACTCGACTCATGATTCATTAAGCTTTCAAATTATTTGATTCGACTCAACTCATGACTCGAAGAAAAACGACTGATTCTTGAGTCGATTCATGATTCAACTCTGAGTCGTATACAACCCTGGTGAGAGCAGCTGAAGCTGGCTGAAGTCAAACTAGTGGAGCGGGACACTGCTTTAATTTGACAATAAAAAGTGGTCACCTCACGTTCCCACACTCGCCGATAGCACGTCCCCTCCACGCTGGCTGCTGACCGCCGGTCGTCCTGCCCGCCAGGTGATGACGCTGAACCCGGTGTGCGAGCGGGTGGAGACCTCGCAGGGCGTGCCGCTCACCGTCACCGGCGTGGCCCAGTGCAAGTTCATCAAACAGGAGGACCTGCTCAAACAGGCGTTCGAACAGTTCATCAGCAAGTCGGTCAACGATGTCAAGAACACGGTCCTGCAGACGCTCGAGGGCCACCTGAGAGCCATTCTCGGTACGAACTGGTGCACCACGGTCATGCGTTGGGTTCACAGGAGATGCCGATCACCAGAGCCGCCAAATAAGACAGGAAACAGAATTCTCACTCTTCAAATTAATCAGTTTGGATTCATCTTTAATTCTGACATGCTGGTGATTGTGTTCAACGATCTGATGGTTGCTGTTTAAAGTTGTCACGTCTGTTTGCTGCAGTTTCGTTTCATCACCGTAGTACGAAATGAGCTTTTCCTCTCACTCCCGTGTACCAGTCGTTTTTCCATCCTCCCAGCGTCGTGTCTCCACTTGTGTCGCTGACCTCTCACGCTGTGATTCCCGCAGGTACGCTCTCCGTAGAGGAGGTGTTCAAGGACCGGGACCAGTTCGCCGCCCTGGTGCGCGAGGTGGCCGCCCCGGACGTCGGCCGTATGGGTATCGAGATCCTCAGTTTCACCATCAAGGACGTTTACGACGGCGTGGACTACCTGTCCTCGCTGGGCCGGCCGCAGACGGCCGTCGTCAAACGGGACGCCCAGATTGGCGTGGCCATGGCCGTCCGAGACGCCGGCATCCGGGTCAGTCAGGGTCAGGGGCTGATTGGCCGGGGTCAGGGTCAGTCAGGGTCAGAGGCTGATGGGTCGGGGTCAGGGTCAGTCGGGAGTCAGGGGCTGATTGGTCGGAGTCAGGGTCAGTCAGGGTCAGAGGCTGATGGGTCGGGGTCAGGGTCAGTCGGGAGTCAGGGGCTGGCGACGAGCCAAACTCAGGGTCAGTCGCAGGTCAGGCTGGGCTGTTAACGCAGACTTAGTCAAGGTCAGTCGGGGCTAAGGGACTGGTGACTCGGGGTCAAAGTCGGGGTCGTGAGAGTTAGTCTTATCGAAAAGTGCAATGATGATAGAAATGGGTAGAAAGTGATACAAAGGGATGCGTGGAACTGCGCTCTGCATCATATTCCTTGCAGTCTACCTTTATACATGAGGTACCTATGTAGATCAGTGTCACAAAATTATATTAATGCTTGGGTGTTAGAGGGGAAAATTCCTCTCCAAAAAAAGGGATGAGGGTGGTATATTCTTGATAAGGTTAGCCCCCCCCCCCCGAAAATAAAGAACAGAAGAAGGAATGATTGCACACTTTTCTGTACAATGGTAGAATCTGATGCGATCATGCAAGCAGATGCTCTTTCATGAGTGGTAAATTGCTCTTGAAAGTTGGAGGTGGGAGTGGAAAATTATTTTCATTTGGATGTCTTGTTCCACCCAAATTGACAAATTTTGGTAATCCTATGAGGTACCTACATTGTAGGTACCTCATAGGATTTCAAAAAGCACACCGAAACTCTTGTTCCGCCGTACGCGTTTCATACCCGTTGTTTCAAACACCTCTCGGTGTGGTGACTCCGCCGTTCGTACCCCGTACAGGAGGCGGAGTGCGAGCGGGCCGCCATGGACGTCAAGTACGGCACAGACACCAAGGTGGCCGACAGCACCAAGCTGTTCCGACTGCAGAAGGAGGAGTTCGACCGCGAGGTCAACACGGCGGTAAGTACACGCACGGCGGCCGTCGCCTGCTGCCGAACCCCGGCCGATTCGGGTTGGGAACAGTACGGCGGCCTAGTCTCCTGCCGGTGGGTTGGGCTACATTGTGAGGTGCACTATCTTACCGGCACTAACTCCTGTAGAAGTGGTCTATGTGCTGGTGAACGTATTTGATCAATCGCAAGTTCAACTATGGTAAACACTAAACAGCACATATGCACTACCAGTTTGGTGTTTAGAGTACCACCCCTTTTCGCCTTTCACTGGCCGACTGAGCTGACCGTGGTTGTCCTGTCCGCAGAAAGCGGACGCCGAGCTGGCCTACGAGCTGCAGGCCGCCAAGGAGAAGCAGAAGATCCGGTTTGAGGAGATCGCCATCGACGTCATCGAGCGCAGGAAGCAGATCGAGGTGAGCAGCACGCCGCCAGACCGGCGTGCCGGCTATGTCGCGTAGGGTTTGCTCGTTGCAGGTGGCTTGAAAGTTGGGTTCAGCGTGAGTTAAACGCTCAGCGTGTCTGAGGAGCAGGCCTGTGCTGCCACTGCCCTCTCACTGTGCTGCCGCTGTTCTCTGACCTCTCACTGCAGGTCACTACCCGCCTCTGGTTGACCTCTCTCCGTCCTTCGCCGGCCGTTAACCTTTGAACCCTGACCTCTCACTGCTGACCCCTCACCGCTGTCCTTTGAGACCCCGACCTCTGACCTGTCACTGCCGACCTCTGGTCTGACCTCTGCGGCCGGCTTCCCCAGGTGGAGACACAGGAGATCAAGCGGAAGGAGAAGGAGCTCACCGGCACGGTCAAACTGCCCGCCGAAGCGGAGAGCTACAAGGTCGAGGCCATCGCGCAGGGAAAACGGTACGGCTATCTTACATGCAGTCTTTGTCTTGAATCTTGCTCTTAATGTAGCTCCCATAAAGTACAAATCGTGATGAATATTAATTAAACGTATCTGCTTATGACCTGAATTAGTAGGCAGAGGCACTGCTTATTCTCTAGACCCAACACCGGCGTGATCGAGAGACTAAATTTATGGTGTGTGTTCAGAAGCGTGTACTGACCAGTCGTCCCCGTCCCCAAGTCTGACACTGACCGACCGTCGCCGTCCCCGCCCCCAGACGGTGACCGACCGTCGCCGTCCCCAGGTACCAGACGTTGACCGTCCGTGCCCGTCCCCCAGGTACCAGACGGTCGAGGTGGCCAAGGCCGAGTCCGAGAGTACCCGTCTGCTGGGAGAGGCCGAGGCCAGCAGCATCGAGGCCATCGGCCGCGCCGAGGCCGAGCGGATGCGGATGAAGGCGGCTGCCTACCAGCAGTACGGTGACGCCGCGCTCACCTCCATGGTGCTGGAGGCCCTGCCGAAGGTCGGTGTGCCGCCGCGGCGGGACAGAACTCGTGTCTGTCATGTCTGGGTTATTTACGAATTATGTCATGGAAAACGTATGAACGCTTAAGTTATTATGGTGACTGAGATGCACTGGCATTGCTTGATAACTGGTATTCATTGCTTATCTGACATGTGTATATCCTCAGGGTCGCTGTGTACTAGTTTGTGCGCACATGATCTTTGCCTCGTTTTGTCCGTGTGTGTCCGTTGCATCAGACCGTTAGTCTGACACCCGCTCACGCCTGGTCCTCAGGTGGCCGCGGAGATTGCCGCCCCGCTGGCCAAGGTGGAAGAGATCGTGCTGCTCGGCGGCCAGGACAAGATCACCTCTGAGATCACCCGACTGGTGGGCCAGGTGCCGCCCGCCATCAGCGCCCTCACCGGCGTCGACTTGTCAAAGGTCAGTGGTGACAGGGGGCTGCCTACGCCGGCTCACTGAGCAGCTGTATGCGCAGACATGGGTCGGGAGGCTGACGATTATCTAATTTTTGCTTGTTTTAACTTGATGTCCATTTGTACTGTTTGGTATCTCGTGTGTTGGTGCATTATTTGTAGCCGTTCGTTTTACTGGCTGGATTCGGTATAACGTTTTAGTCCTATGTTGAATGTTCAGTATGTGGTGGTGCAGTTGACCTGACCGGGTTTGGTTTGTCCTCTGTGCGACAGGTTCTGGAGAAGGTACCGGGCGCACAGGGGAGCGCCTAGAGCGGCCCTGTGTCGAGCCCCCGCGCGGAGCCGCCTGCTGCCTTTTGCTGCCGTCGCCGCCGCCGCTGCCGCCGCCGCCGCCGCCGCCGCCGCCGCTGCTGCTGCCTGCGCCCAGCCGGTCAGCACTGAGAGGGTCGGTCGGGCCCACCGCTGCTCTATCGGGACCCTCTGACGTTCTTACGAGGTCCCAATGCCGCTCCCAGACGGTTTCGCCGCCGCTTCAACCTGCCTGCACTGGTCCCTAATCACCCGCCTCCGGTCACCTGACACCACTCCGAACCCGCCAGTTCCTCGCCAGTCCAGTTTCCCCCTATACCGCGGCGCTGCCTCTGTCTGCCCGCGGGCCCCGGTCGCCGGGCTGCTCGCCGGGTCCGCTCGCGCAAAACTCTGCACCTGTGCTGGTCCTCCACTGCCCCTACCAGCCGGTCACCTTTGTGATCAGATTTTGGGAAATCATGTGGCCTAGATCGAGTGGATTGCTTGTATTTTCACTGCCTCATTATTAGGGTAGGCTTGCGTAGTGGTAGAAGCCGTTCAGGCCACATCGGTATTAGCTGCCTTAGAGGTCTCATTGGTCTGAAACCTTGTCAAGTGAAGAAAATCGCTTAGAGTTTATTCGGTGGAGACTACGTACCTTATTCTAAATGCTGCAGCTGGCTGCTAGCTTCAATGACATCTTTTTACTCATCATGTTTCGAGACCCCATTTGATTTAATATATTCGTAGGGCTGCCGTTTGGAAAGGGTCAACGATGTACAATGACCGATGAAAATAGCGTCTGTTTTTTTTTTCTCATAACAATGAAGAAGGTAGCAGTTCGCCACCCAAGCTTCATCTCGATGAATTACGAAGGCGTTTTAACATTCGCTCTGCAGTCTGAATTATATTCAATGGTACAGCATGAACATTTTTTTGCTCCCGTTTTCTGATCCGGGCGCGAAATTCCTTGGCTCTCAATATTTCTAAGATTTTCAGAGTTATGTGGAAGTGAAATGGTCAGCTAGAATGTCATTTATATGCAGTGTAAAAGGGCGTGTTCAGGTATTATAATATGACATATCAGGAAGGAAGGAAATTCATATTTTATTGACAAACATATAAATCTCATGCATTTTTTTCAAACAAAACGTGTCAGCTATTCTCATAAATATACAACAAAGAAACCAGCAAATTGGTAGGTGACTAACATTTAACACGCGCGGTGGAAGGGGGGGGGGGGCGGATTTCGCCCACCCCTCCTGTTTTTCGCCAATAACTCGCGCCGCAAACATGATATTAATGGGAAATTTTGGCTACCTGTCCAGAATTGAATTGCGGATCTTCTCGTGCAAGAAATAAGAAAATCGGTTCACAACTTTTCTAGTAACAGCGGTGTAAAGTCAAACATCCTGCCGCCGCGGCGCCCGGCGCTAGCCGTTACGCGCCGCCTGAATTGTAGACTGTGACGGGGCGGGACGGTTCCGTCTTTACATCGCGCTCCTTACCGCTGATTACATTCGATTCGCGCAAAATTTTGTGAGAAGACTAAGAAATGTACAGGCAATCTCATGGTCAAAGAATTTTGAAAATCGGCCGGTAACAACTTGAGTTATGAGTGTGTAAACACAAAATTGTGATTGCCGCGTTTCCCGCGTCGGCCGATCCCGCTTCAGCCGGCGATATCTTACTCTTAGCAGGCTTCTAGCTGCCATATTTATTGTTGGATTAACTAGAAATTCACCATACATACTCACAATCGTATGTTCTTTCGTATAGTGAAAGAAAAAAGAAAATCGGCCAGTAACTTTTGAGTTATCGGCGTGTAAGCGCAAAAAAGTCGCTAATATGGCAGATTTGACCACATTTTACCTCATTTGACCTTGAAGATATTGACCTAGGGTCATGAAATTCACACACAACAGAGTTCCCCAAGGCCTTCACCTACCCTCCAAATTTCGTCTTTCTAGCTCCAGTGGGAGCTGAGATCTTAGGGGGGGGGGGGGCGACATCCGCCCCCCCCCCCTTCCACTGGGCGTAGTACTCGCAACCCTTCCACTGCGCGTGTTAAATCATGCAGCCTATACTCTGTTCCGTTTCAAGCTTGCAGTCGAAGTGCCCTGCTGAAAGCAGTGCGTGATTTCTGACTTCTGTATATATAGCTCTTACATTTTAAAGGGACCCTCCCACCTTAAAGGGAGATAATGAGCTTTCTTTTTTCTTAAATAAAAATTACTCGACATCTATACTATTTCTACTGTAGTTTCTATAAAATATGAAAATTTCCTAGCACATTTTCGTATGTGAAAAAGGTTTTTATTTTTGCAAAAAAGAAGCAGTACTTGAAGTACTTGTAACACCCACCGAAATGCGTTGTCCTTCTCTATAAAAAAGTCGCAGTATATGGCGCTTTTGTTTCAAACAGCGACGCTTGGGTTTTTGTTTATGTTATCGCCTTGTCGTTGCTTGGTTGTAAGGATTCTAATTTGAATTAGAGTTAATTCGGTTTAGAATTAATTAGATTCTAATTCGGGGGTACATAGTGCCTACTCTTCTTTGTTTCTACGCCACAAATGAACGGCATGCGCCAGAAACGCAGCCAAATCTTGCGATTGCGACTACGAAATTCATTATTTTGGCGTCAGAGCCTGAAGCGAAAAATACAAGCATATTTATTTCAAAAAGACTTCAGGTTTGTCGAACGGTGTTATGTGAATTTTGATAACAGTACTGCATAAGTTTTTCAGTGATGCCGCAAAAGTGTTGTATCTATCTTCTTTTATTGTGCAGTCGGCGGGACCGATTCAAAATTGAGTCGTTGCTACTAAAATAGCAGCATATGGCGTCAGATGATGAACAGGAAAAATAGTTGCGTAAATTTAGACATAAACCACCCCCAAACCATGAATATCTTTTGAAGGCACTATAGACGACCATTAACTAACTAGATGTGATGAAGATCAAATGTAAGGAATACGCTCATTTTACAAAATTACATGCAAGTACCAAAAAGTGATGTAAGTACTTATTCAACGGTCATTTTCAGCGCTCCCCGCTAACGTGACTTCAAGTTGAGATATTTGCGGCAAGGTACCGAATTGAGCAAAATGGTTTTAATTTACATTATAACTTGTTGTGTTTTGTCAGAAAATGGTCCTAACTCAGATTTTGTGGAAAAAGGTCATTATCTCCCTTTAACATTAGATTTGAGTTGAGATAGCCAAAATGGGGTCCCTGGCTCACAATTACCGGTTTCGGCACTCACAGCATCGAGAAATGCCTTAAATCGGAAATATTGAATTTCAAAATTGCAGCATTTTGATTCAGAGGGGCTAATGCATAGGAATACCCCTCTGAATGTGCGACGTCAGCGCAGATATCTAACGATTTTTAAAGGGACCCTCCCACCTCCAAAAAAGTTAATGAATTGGCATGAAAGTGATGTCGCTCGATTCAGAAAGAGCAAAAACGAATATCTACCAAATTTTACCGAAAAAAATATTCACCGGTTTTCAAGATATTATACTTTTACTTTTGTTTACTTTTTTGGGATCTCCGCTGTTCCTAGCGACTTCATTTTGGAAGTGCGGCGTTCGCGGCATATGTTGCGCGCAAATAGCATATACCACCACTGTTTTACAAAGATGTTAGTATAAGGTTTTAAAATCGTTAGATCACCGCTGACGTCACAAATTCTAAGGGGGCATCTCAATGCATTAGCCCCTTAGAATTCGAAAACTGCAAGTTTGAAATTCCATATCTCCGAATTAAAGCATTTTTCGATGTTGTGAGTGCCCAAACCGGTATTTGCAGGCCATGGCCACCAATTTGGCTATCTCAACTCAAAACTAATGTTAAGGTGGGATGGTCACTTTAAATGTTTGACTAAAACGTTTTGTAGCACGCGGTGGTATATGCTGCTTTGCGCGCAACAAGTGCCGCACTTTCAGCTGCCAAACTATTGCTTCCAACTAAAGTCGCTAGGAACAGCGGAGATCCCAAAAAGTAAACAAAAGTAAAAATCTAATATCTTGAAAACCGGTGAATATTTTTCGGTGAAATTTGGTAGATATTCGTTTTTGCTCTTTCTGAACCGAGCGACATCACTTTCATGCCAATTCATAAACTTTTTTGAAGGTGGGAGGGTCCCTTTAAGACGCAAATTCTTGAGCGGAGGAGCGATCTGCCGAAGAAACTCATACTGCAAGCTTGGTATGGAACAGACTATAATTATTTTTAACTAAGTCAAACCGTATAATAACGATTTTTCAGTTATTTAGAACCGATTTAGGCGTAAAACCCTGTTGCCTAAATACCGTTCAGTGGAGGGAGCTGCGATGCTTATACCCGTAGAGCGCTAAACGCATTACTCCTGGATGTGCCGTTGTGCTTGCAACAGAATACTCAATTTTTTATCTTCCTACCTTACCGCCTAAGGTGTACTAGATTCATTAGCTGACCGCTACTGAAATTTTATGTAGTGCAATATATTCGACATTCATCATTAAATTGATTTCAAAATTGAACAATTACGCAGAAGCATCAATACCAATACGTAAATACAACACAAGGGATCCATCCACTTTAAGCTCATCTGGTTGTGTTCTTACACCGCCACCTGTCCATCCATCTATGGCCACACCGCACCCGTTTCTCTGTCTCCGTGGGCCGCTGGGCCGCGGTAACCCGTGTGCCAGACGCGTGTAGACTGGGCCGCGGTAACCCGTGTGCCAGACGCGTGTGCCACTGGGCCGCGGTAACCCGTGTGCTAGACGCGTGTGCCGTTGGGGCCTGCGTTCCGTTCACTGAGTGTGAGATGAGTTTGAGTTGAGAATGAGTCGAGCGCCGGCAACGCTATAAAGTCCTATACCCGCCCCACATCCCTGTCCCATGACTGGGTACAGTTGACAATCCTGTCCCGTGTCCGGTTACAGTTCACTTTTCCATTCAATGTCCGGCGGTCCGTCCATGTGACTCTACCGTCCTTACCATGTGGACACATGTATTGGTCATAAAAATAGACATTGGGAAACGGCCATAGACGCAGGCTTGTTTTATGTTTTGTTCTGCCAACGTGTGTTGTGCTGCCTGAATTTTGATCTTCTATCGAGGACGTAAGTAGGTAGACTAAGTTGTGAACTTGGATCGTGCTTTGTTCCGCCATATGTCACAGACAAACGGCTGCATTGAGATAGGCAGTGGAGCAGTGTTCAATGCCGGATGGCCTGCTCTGTACATGCTCTTATATTGTATATGCGTGTTTCGCTGCTTAATTGGGTGTTCCGCATCGCTTGCACATTTGATGTTTTATGCCACGTGAGTACTAGTTTTAAGTCGTGATCTGATGTAATCGAGCAACACGATACTTTTGTGAGCTACATGCGAATTAAATCAGGGCAACAATACAAAATATGCATTTTCTATACCAGCAAGTCTGTTCGATTTATGTTCGATAGGTCCAGAACAGGGACTGGTGCTCAGATATGCTGGGAACAGAGTCCGCTCCTTTTGTGCATTTTTTATTGACCGGGCTCAGATACAATGAAATTTGTTTAGAGAATGTGTGGATTCCGCAATGGGCGATGAGCTCCTTTACCATCTCTGTTCTTTTATCCAACATGCGTTGAAGAGCCGCTCAGGTGGAGTATATTTCGTTGTTGTTGTTTTCCTCCATATCCATGCATTGGCCAGATCAAGTAGGTACATTTGTAATCTTAGTTAGATTTGTACATACATAATAGAGGGTGTACTGTGACAACTTGCATGTTGTATTTTTCCGTTTGATATGTACGGACAGTTTAACACCTTTCACAGTTTGGTGCCGTTTTGGACATAGAGGTCGCCCACAATATGATTAAGTTGGTACTTACGACTACATACCTTTTACGCCATATGCAATACAATATGGACCCGAGCTGCGCTCTACGAGCGGCCTGTGTCCTCTTGTGTCGGTCTGAGTGTCACCTCATCGCAGTGTGTTTGTAGCACCTTGTTGTGCGTACCGTGTGAGTCCGACGGGGAAGCCAGCCGGACTGAATGCCGAACAGCGGTTTGCGAGTACAACGCGATACGAGTGAGCCCAGAGTGCACCGCTGGTGGCTCAGTGGCTACACAGGGTCAGTGCATGGTAGCTTCGTACGATCCTGCAAACACGCGCCGGGAGCGAGCCTTCGTGACGAACTGCGTGCCACCGAGGCCGGGTTCAGATTTGCTGTGGTCCAATACACGGCCACTCATGCCGGAGGCGCTCACTCGTTCTGTTCCATCTCAGCTGTGGCCGCCGGTTTTCGGCCCGGCAGTCCGTCAGTCTTACCCGCTCGGCCGGTCTCTAACATGCCATTGTATTCGATAACTCGTTGTCGACGTGTTTGCATGTAACAGCACGTGTGGCTCCTGCGTGCGCTGTATGCATGCACTCTGTTCGGTGCAGACGGAGGTACAATACATACATACAATACAGCGATGCAAGGCACGGTATTTCTCAGTCGGGTGGTCGGTGTATTGGGCTTTATGTACAGACAGTCGGCATTGGAACCCAACTGGCACCAGCCGCCTCTGGGACGGACACTGGTCGGCCGACGGGGGAACGGGCAGACTCTGTTCAGTGTTCACCGCACGGTATACATGATTATTTAGGGATGCATTTTCACCTATTTATACATTACGTAGTGCGCTCATCGCAAGCGTCGGTGCGCAATATGCATGTCTGTATGCTTTACAAAGAACTCGCGTAACTTACTTACATAGCATTTATACTCACAGGCGTTCACGCATCCATCATTCATGCACACGCATGCAAAGTTCTCCTGCGAATACTCGTACACGGAAACACGCTCGCGTCGCGCACACAAGGGTGGACGCGCCTCTCATTTCGCTCACGATATGATACCTATTCGTTGTCAAAGGCACATGCAGCTCTCTGCCTTCGTGTAAATTTACGCGGCGCTCATCTTTGGTAAATGCACGATGCACATTGCACACGCCACAGTACAAAAAGCTGAATTCGTTACTACATATGTTATAAACGGCCGTTCATTGACCGTCCTATCCGTGAGTTCCCAGAAAGGGGTGGCGGTGCTCCTCACCAGCGTATGAACCAACACTCGAGCAGCCATGCCGTACCTTTCTGATAGCTGCGGATCGCTACATTTTCAGCATCCCTACATGCATCCCACCATATGTTAGGTCACGGCATAATGGCCTACTTCATCCACATCCCGTGGGTTACATCACGAATATATTGTACACTACTCATTGAATTTGTCATTCGCCTGGCCTTTCTGTCGAACTCCGCGATGAGCATCCGCCGGCGTCTCATGCTCCTGTACTCAGGGACTGGCGATTACAGTCGGGAAAACTGCTTGACAGGCATCGCCTTTGTCCTTACATACATCCTCGACACCCTGAGAAGCTCGCTGGTCGTCCTCGGCATCCAGTGCTGCTCAGTAGTCATCGTACTCGTCCTCGTCGTCCTTGATGATGCCGAGCTTCTTTGCAACGCTCTTGACGGAGCTGATGACCTCCTCCTGGACCAGGTTGAAGCTCATCATCAGCAGCGCGATGCCGAAGAGCAGGTAGAGAGACGTGATGGCGATGGCCTCTCCCTCGCGGCCGCTGCGCTTCTGGTCGGGCACGAAGTCGCCGAAGCCGATGGTGGTGAGCGTGATGAAGCAGAAGTAGGCCGAGTCGAGGAAGGTCCAGCCGGCCTCCTGCTCCCGCTCCTTGAACAGGTAGGCGCCGCCGACGATGTAGGAGACGACGAGCAGCACGCAGAGCCAGATGGGCACCGACTTGGTCTCGGAGGTGTCCTCGTCGTCCGAGTCCTCGTAGCCGTCCGAGTCGTCCTCCTCGTCGAACGTCTGGTGCAGCTTGCTGACGCGCTCGGGCGCCGGCCGGCCGGCCGGCACGCCGCGCACCGAGCGCGCGCCGCTGCTCAGCGAGCGGCCGTACGCCGAGTCGGTGCGCGCCGGCGACAGTTTGACAGAGCCGCCGCTGCCCACGCTCGGTTCGTCCCGCAGCGCGTCCGCCTCGCTCAGCGCGTACCGGTTCTGGAAGAAGGGCGTGCGCTGCAGCGCGGCCGGGTCCGGCTCGGCGCGCGTGGCCGGCAACTCGTCGGACGATTTGGAGCGCTCCGAGGGCGCCGAGCGTTTGCCGTCGGCCGGCAGCCGGTGGTTGTGGATGGCCGCGCGGCCGTAGGCGTCTGGTGATGCCGGCTCCACGTCGTCGGGGAGTCTGGAACGGCACGTCGGAGCAGTGTGAGGGACAGTCTGATATCTGTTTGATGGTGTTCGCTCACTGAGGCGAGGCAACGGGGTAGTCAGTGAAGCATTCCCGTGAAGCTCATTTCTCAGTAGAGGTGGCAAAACTGGAAAATTTTGGGACCCGGACCCGGACCCGGTCTGACTGGCACATTTCCGGAACCGGTCAGACCCGGTCTAAGTCAGCGTTTGAACCAGATGGACCCGTTCCCGAAATTCATTATGAAAATTGTATACAGTTGTAGGTATAGCAAGAAGAAAATAGTTTCTTTCCAATTGGGCATACTTGTGTTGCAAAGTAAAAAACTCATGCCATGGTCATTTCACTTCGCTTCACAGTTTGTATTTTAGAACCAGATTCAGGTCACATTTAAGAATATAAGAAGTATGTAGACCAATGAATTTCATGCTAACCTAAGCCACTTTTACTACAGCTGCTAAAAATGATGTATAATGGGGATCATGGGTGGAGCTTTTCCAGGAAAGTTGGTGGGGCAAAAAGTTGTCAAACCTACAATGTCCGATTGTTAAGTTAGATAGAATACAACAATGAATCAATTCTTTTCATTACAGAGTTAATATTTTGCATAAAACAGACAGTTTAAAGCTCCTCAATGCGAAAAGCATTGGTTTGCTAAGCAGTAAAGTCCTGGAAATTGGCTTAAGTTGGTGGGGCAAAGCGCTTATTGGTGGGGCAAAATGGCAAGTTGGTAGGGCAGCCGCCCCACCAAGTGAATAGGAAGCTCCGCCCCTGATGGGGATCCATGGAGCAGTGCCTTCCACTTCACCAGAGTAAGAACCTTACATCAACATGGAACAAGATAACCAGTACTGATACATACCTTTTCTAATATTCTTTGTAAAAGATATTCGTTTTTAGAATTAAATTCATTAGTCCTTACAAATATTATCAACTATCCAAGGCCCCAAACGAGAAAACATTCAAAATCAAAATAGAAACATCAAAACTTTGTGAAGTCCGCCAGAAATGTCGACACGATAGCAATGCAAGGACAAAACAGGCGTTAAATCACTGCAAAATTTTGTTTGGGTTAAAGTACTGCAAAATCGTTATGGCAATAAACTTTTAAGTACTGCAAGGTTGCGATCATGACTTAAGTTCCAATTTATTAACGTAAAAAACAAACTACATTTTGTTGTTACTACCTAGATATAGAATAAATACCAAGGATTCTGAGCCTTAACTGATTTCTTCCCGAACGTGTTCCAAAATTGTAACCTTTATGCAGTAGATTAGCGTGCGTAAGGCATATCATACATGATGCTCATATGCGCCATTTTCACATCAACACGGAATCATTGGCCTTGGAGAAGGGCATTGGTATTGACTCAGTTTTTTGCCAGCTGCTGCCGTATGATGGCGCTAGTAGAGCGCTATATGTATAATACGCTCTGCTAGCGCCACCATGCGGCGCCAGTTGGCTAAAAATCTGGCCAATACTACGGTTTCTGGAGAATGCCTTGGATTCATTTTTAGCTTTATGGATTTATGCAAGGGCATGTTGGTTTTATGAGCTGTCTTCTGGCCGTGATAGAGATAATTTCAAAGCTGTTTGAGTTATGAAATGCATTTGAATATCAAACATGAACTCTGAGTTCCGGTGAGAATAGTGACTTTGGTATGTCAATGTCTTTGAAAAGGCAGGTGAGAATGCCACTGGTCAGCCTTGCTTCAATTGGATTTGTGTCCATTTATAAATGGATTCCAGTCATACCTACTTACCTACATAGGGTAGTGTGGGGTAATTTGAACATATTTTTACGTCTTCTCCGTAGTACCAAATTCCAGCTCAACCCTGGATGAAGAAAAACTGTTTCAGTAGCGCATGTGTCACTTGCTTTCACCATGCAAGCCTCATTTTTGGACGAACCGAGCATACCTTGAATAGCATAGCATCACTTCTCCACCAAGTCACGGTGTGTTCGAATTGCCCCACCGTGGGGTAATTTGAACATACTGCCTTTACCTGCCATAAAAACGATAGTCTCGCCAGCACCGATGTTGTTTGACCCATAAACGAATAGGCAGAGCAATTCTAAACATACCATCATTTGAAAAATCAACACAACAACAAAAATAAGAGTTGCAGAGTATCAATATCTGCACGCTGCACACCGGTCAGTTGACAGAATTCGCCTCTCTTCAATTAACAGAACGTCTATCATCTCCGTTCGATAAAAACTCTACCAAACCTTACTTCATCTGTTATAGTGGTGCCAATCGGAACCTGGACATTCTGAGTTCCGATTCTTTATAATGTCCAATTCGGAATTGATTGCACTAAGGTATAGTAGTCTGGACAACGTTGGACGATGGCCTGCCACACTTAAGCATTTTTATCAAGTAATCGTGCGTAGCATTGATTGGCGAATGGAAAGCTTGTTAAGCTCTCAATATAATGAACACTTTTCGGCTGGTAAAATTACATGATAAGCAATATAAATGACGGTTTTGAGTGTTGATAGCTGCATAATTTTCGGACATATTTGGACAAATAGTTGACTTTAACATTTTTGGACGGAAAATCAACGAAAATGCCGGACATTAAACGGATATTAGACGTAAATTTTCTAAAATTGGCATCACTTATCTGCTACTACTTTGGGTCGAATATATTGGCAAAAAAAAAAACTGGGAGCGTTGTTTTTTTCGGAGCTATCCCTGTCTTCATTGAAATTCTCACACTATGTTCAAATTACCCCACGCTAAAAGTTATTTTGCCATTTTTTAAAACAGGGTTCAAAAGCAAATTTCTTGGATTGAAGGCACTGATTAGGTCATTGTACAACAAAAGCCGTTGCGTATTAGGCGCTAGCAATGCAAGATTTTGCGCTGCAATGAAGTTGCAATGACGTGTTGTTAGGCGTTTATCCTTGCGAGATTGATTTTTTACACTGTGCGTCAACATCTTCATTCCCTGAAACTTAAAACCCCGTTCATATGATAGCCCTTTTAGTTACGATAATTTCTCTCATTGGTCTTATTGTCATCCCACTTATGGATTTTCCGTGATTTTGTGTTATTCACACTATGTTCAAATTGCCCCACATGTTCAAATTACCCCACCCTACCCTATGTTATTGGTATTTGATTTCTACAGCTCAAAATATTGCTAGATGCTGTACAGCAAACTGAATGGAAGTGATCCGTACAAACATTTGGTGAAATGTTTTCTGGATTGCTAGCACTTAGAACTTGTTTATTCTGTTGTAGGTGACAAGCTAAGAAATTGAAGCAAGACTGACCAGTACGCTATAGAATAGGTAGCCCAATCTGCAGGAATATTAATTCAAAAGTGGAATTGGGACTTATGAACTGGAAACTGCATCAACTATGACTAGGTATGTTTGCCAAAGCATAAAAGATATTAATATTTACCATAAAGCACAGGGAAATGATAGGACCCGGTTGGACCCGGCCAAATATTTTGGGGGACCCGGTCTGGACCCATCCGGGTCCAGACCGGTTCCATAGACCGGGTCCCCGGGTCCACATTTTGCCACCTCTATTTCTCAGTCGAGGAGCGGATAGAAACAGGACTAGACCAAAGAGGAAAAGATGGAAAAATATTTAATTTATCATGGTTGGACGCTTGATCTTCATCGTGCCAAATACAAATGATCAAATAAATTACTTAGGTTATACTAAATTAACAATAAATTAATTACAAATAAATAAATAAGGTCTGGGTTATTCATGACATTGAGAAATGCGGCATCGCTGTAGTCTCCCTTTTCCACGTGTTACCAATAGTCGCCCGTCGATCACTGACCTGTACTCTCCCGTCTCGGAGGACGGGTCGCCGTACGAAGCCGAGAAGGCACTCTCGCTGACCGCGCCGTCGGCGTTTTTGGCCGACCTCCGGATCGACCGTGAAGAGGAATATCTGTAAACAGAAAAAGTAATGGTACTTTTCTGTGCAAACACCGGCAAATCCCATGACTTTTAAAGCTAACTATATAGCTATGTAGTGATGGTAAATATCCACACTAAAGCGTAAATGTAGAATACCATATCTAGTTTCATATCATATATCTCTGATATATCTCTGATCTGATATGTCCGACTGACTCTTGTTATCTTATATTGCTTACTATACACAATTTCCTCTATCGGTAGCAAATCACAAACATTTCCACTTCCCAGCTAACCACCGCTGCTCCCAAGCCCATTTGCATTGCGCTGCTCGTCTGTACTCCACTGTGCCGCATTACTTCACTGTGTTGCGGCACAGCCTACCAATCCAGTCGGCTTCTTGCCTGTCGTTAACGCCATATAAACAGCCTCACTGTCGCGGTATCGGTATGCGGCGTGGCGCGGCGAAATGGATGGACTTGGGAAAAAGGTTAATGATTATTGTTTTGGGTGAAATTTCGCGTTTTTTTATGGGAACATTGTCGTACCCAGTTATGACTGGTATGCGTAAATATCATGCACCTACTCCACTCCTTTTTGCTTGTAAGTGCTTATTCAATATCCGTTGCATAACAACCTTACTGAGTCCACCAGCAAACACCACCACTGCGGCCTGGAAACATAACCGAGCCATTCACTATCGACAATGTAACACAATCCCCCGATTGGTGACGTCACGCTCCTTCAGCAAGCGACGTCATCTGTAAACAGCGTCCGGGCCGGTCGGGTTGGGTCGTCAGCCCGGTACGATGGCCCTTCCCCGGGCCAACACACACGATCCCCGCCGCCGCGGCCCGCGGGTAACTCTCCACTTCCGGCGCTGTTCTCCGGCACGGGCTGAGCCCTTTGAACCGGGCTCCCCGTCTGCCAACCATACGAGCGTCTGTCATTACATAATAGGAGCATATCACCGACCGTGACGGGCACTGGCAGTTGCGGCGGGTAGGAGCGCTCGTCAGTGTCTTCCATCTACGCGTGACACTATAAAATCTCACCCCCGTCTTCCCCTGCGCCGGCGCCGTTTCTTCGGCTTCTTGGTGCAGATGTAGCAGCAGCACTTCCAGTAGACGACCTTGAATGAGTGCGCCATGCCCTCGCTGATGTTGGAGAGACAGAGGCACATGAGCGGGATGCCCAGGATGGCGTACAGCATGGTCACCACCTTGCCCCAGTCCGTTTTGGGCGCAATGTGGCCGTATCCTGCGGCACAGAATGAGGGTCGATTAGTCGAGACGAATTATTACCCAAGCACGCTTTACTCACAGTCGGCGACGCTCTTATTCCTGTTTAAGAGTATGGTACTTATAGGTCGTGAAACAGAATGTCTTGATTTTTAATATCATTTCTTGTGATGACGCTGTCGCGCTGTATCTAAAAGCGGCCTGTATCGGTGATCATCCTGCTGTATCTTTTGAATGGACTGCCGGTAGATGTACACTGAAAACAATTTCACCCGAAGCTGGCGAATTAAGCGTTGCTCTGCGGGTGGTATATGTGTATTAACTCGCCATGTCCAGATTCTAGCTAGAGGGTAAGCAGACTTGCCTGCCTTATTACTCGTAAATATGCACTGTACCCACAGTCTGCAGTAAGGTAGCTACCCAGCACCGGATATTGTCCCCGCGGGTGTTGAGTCATTGGCACAGCCCTCACTGAAAGAGTTGGAACTACTCGAGGTATCGTAAACGCGTATCCGTGGATGGCGAACCTTTACATAACCTGCCCTGAAGGAGTTGGATCTACAGTTACAACTAGATGGCGTTGTCTCATACAGTTTTGAATTACAACAGTTTTTTAACTTTTTTTTTAACCAATGATATGTTGGCACATTGTTTGGCGGTTTTCAAGTGGGGGCGAAAGTACAATTGTTAGGGTGCATCTTTAAAACCTCTGCAATATTCATCACGGGACGATTGGCAACGCTTTTTCTTCCGAAACTACCAAGTGAGACCATTTTGATTCTTATATAGGTCACGAAAGCAGCGCCGACACATCTTCTTGATTTCGGGCAGTCTGCATGACTGCCGGTGACTGAGTCATGTCGAAATTTCTTTGGGAATTCGATTTGACCTTTCCCACCGATGTGAAACTTTCTCACCTACGTTTTCTAGGTGTGAGATTGCTATAATATAGATATTTTCCCGCAAATATGGTCAAGCGTGGGAGTTTTTTTGGCCCTCGTGACTTGGTCGGCGAAGGGTAGGCGTGGAGGGTAACCCCATCTCCTAGGGGTTTGTGGGGCGCTGCTGCTAGGTAGGCGTCGATGAATACCTTTCGATGGAGGGGTCGCGAGCCACTGGTGCGCGAATAGTCGTGGAGGGTTACTACTCTCCAGAGTGAATTGCGAAAGTGTTATGTCCTAAATTGACTCCTGGGAGGGTGGTTAAAAATGGTTGCGGATAGGGGTACCCGCGAGGCACCGGTTTACTCGCCAGTTTTGGGTGAAATTGTTTTCAGTGTAGGTTCAAATGTATTTCGCATCACATGCTACATCGTTTAAAGCAAATGTGACCCTGCAAGTTGCAGTACAGTAAATGTCCTTGTAACAACAGTGCAGCGAATGACCTTGCAACAGTGTTTACAACAGGCAAACAATCTACCGTTGCTGACTGGCACTGACATTCTGCACTGGGCCGGGACCGTGCCTCTGGCCGGGTGAACTGGGAGGTGCCCCGCGGCCCGAACCTGACACCGGGCGCCCGGACGCCGGAGCCCGCTGCTGCGCCTGGCCGGGCCGGCTCGGGTGGCGCCGAGGGTCTGAGCACTCACCGATGGCCGCACGGCGCCATCGGATACAATAATGACGCATTGTTTGCCGCGGTGCGTCACGACTGACGCGGCCGGGCGGCGGCGCCCTCACGTCCGGCCGTGCTGCCCGTGGGGCCGTGAGCCGTGAGTGGGGCGTGTTCGGCAGAGTTGGGTGGGTCAGCGGGCGGCCGGCTGCCGGGCAGACTCGACCGAGACGCTGCGCAGGGCGCAGGGCGCCTCTCCGCTGCACACTGCACCCCGAGACACTGAGTGGATATTTGGTGATCGTGAGGAGCTTGGAATACCTGGCGCTGTCACCATCGCTTTGGTCCGTGTTCTCTGACAACGGTCGGAGATCACGACTCCGTGGACTGCGGGGAATGCTCGCCCGGGCTGTCAGCTCGGAGCCCTGCCTACGTCGTTAGCTGGCATGGCCGCTGGCCGCGTCTGCCTCCTGCTGACGGCGGCGGTGATCGTGACGCTGTGTCCGCCAGCCGCAGGCGCGAGGAAAGCGATGCTCAGCCGAACGACCAAACGTGAGTTAACCCTCATGGTAAAAGTGGAAACATGAGGGAGTGTATTTTCTGAGGGTGCATCAAGTGTCATTTTCCTTATTGTTAATATTGTATCTTTAAACAAAGACAGCTTTTTAAACATGCCGTTTCTTACCTACCGGCTATGCGTACGCGCGTAGTATGTCTTTTGTTGTGGATAGCGGTTCTATTCATCGTGAATTTCGTGTACACTCTGCTGACGTTTCGCATTTCCAGGGGGCATCAAAGGCCACTCTCACGATTCTCATGACATTCGCCGGACGCACAAATATGTGATGAGTAAGTTGTCTATTATTTTGTTTTGTTTTATTTTTTATGTAGAACTGTCTTCCGCCATGGTGTGCTTGCATTATAAACATCAGGCATGACTTTTAACAGTGCCCCCAACGTGAAGGAATGCGGCATGTGCAATTTTACAAGGGTGGTGAGGCAGATTTCGGCCCCAAAGTCGCGTGACGCTGTTAGTGGTTCCTCGGATATGGAAGGGGTAATCTAATTTAGGACTCGTCATACCTGGTATAAGGTACAAATTTGCATTCCAATCCTTTTGTGCCCGACATTACGGCTTGATAGCGCAATAGCCTAACATGCTTGTTATCTGCATCAAATCATTCAGGTAGTTAGATTACGTCATTCCACCTAACAATGTTTTCTTTTGCCTGTCCGGCTCGGTGGGTGTCCCTGTCCACTGGCCGACAATCACGGCCCTGGTGTCGGTGTCGGCAGGCCGTTGGCTGGGTGTGATCGTGGTCCGGCCGGCGCCCTGTCCGGTCGGACAGCAGATTGACATGCTGGGCCGCTGCCGGCCAGTGGTGGTGCGCGGCAGGGCGCCGCCCCGGCCCCGTCTGCCAGCCCTCTTCATCAGCGAGTTCGGCCAGAGCTACAGCGACTACGACTCGCACGCGCCGCGCGACCGGCCCACCCGGCTGGCCCGGCTCGACAACAGCGTGGTGGCGGAGCGGGAGACGGACCACGACGAACTGCGCTACCGCTAACGTGTGGAGAGAGAGAGAGAGAGAGAGAGAGAGAGAGAGAGAGAGAGAGAGAGAGAGAGAGAGAGAGAGAGAGAGAGAGAGAGAGAGAGAGAGAGAGAGAGAGAGAGAGAGAGAGAGAGAGTCTTAGGGACTGGGCCAGTAATGTGACAGCAGACGTGCCGGGATGAAGTGATCCTGCCGTCTTATATGTGCAACAGAGCTCCCGTTAGTTGTTGGTGGGGATGAATGTGTATAATTCACTTGTTAATACAAGGGTATTTCAACCTCTAAATGGGCATGTGTTTTGTATTGCTATCGGGGAAAATTTTGATAATGCCTCAAGGTTATGTCTTAAGAATGGGTATATTTTAATGTCTTACTAAATGTATTTTCTATGGTTATTAAAACTTCATAATGTCCGTTTTCCAACGATGGTTCGGTGATCGGGTTGCGCGCTAAACGGTCCATTATCTAATGCAAAAATAAAAGGCTGGAACAGGAAACGAGCGGCAAGGAGCATAACTGAATGAATTAAAGATCTTTTTATTGATAATGAGAACAATTTAATTGCAGTTCATTTATTCTAGGCCAAACTTCACCAGAATTAGAAGCATTTGCCGTTCTACTTAACCCGCGCCCCGTTGGGCTCTGCCGAGCAACGCGCCCCGTTGGGGGGGGGGGGCATTTTGGCCCCCCCCCTAAGATCTCGAGAACCACGCAACCTAGCGACAAGCGGCAAACGGTGTTGGATAGCCCTATCAGGGAACTACCTTGTGACCCAATTTTATTGACCTAGGTCAAACCGATGACGTCACAGGTCAGGTCAAAGGTCCAATTTTCACCGTTTACAGGCATTTCAAGGAATGCGTTGTAAAATCGAGTAAAATGCATTTCATTGAAAATCATCGATGGGGAAATGTTCTTCAAACACATATTTTGCTATTTGAGGTCACTGATACCAGGTAAGGTCACAGAGGTCAGGTCACGGGGGGGGGGGGGTCACAATATGAAAGTGTCGTGTGATACATGTTTTATGGTCCATTTTACATGACAAATGCGGTTATGTGGGTCAGGCAGCCTTTGGGGCCAGCTTAGGTCACGTTTTGGTCAAGGTCAGGTCAAGGTCAGGTCAAGTTCAGGTCAAATTAGGTCAAATTTCAAAGTTAATATTTTTGCATAAAATGGGTATTGAATCGATGCAGCTTGTCACGGGGAGTTCAATGGTGGTCTTTGTTTTGCCGTACGTGGTCTAGAATCGCTAAAAATTGAGTTCAAAAATTTAATGTCATCATTTTTGAACAGTTTTTTCGCTATAACTTGGCCAAAAAACGAGATATCGATCTGAAATTTGGCATGTATATAGAAGAGCGCAGGGACTATCACATGTATTCCGGTTTTTTCGAAATTCGGAAAAATTTTGGATTTTTTTTTAGTTTTTCTAAAAAAATCAATTTTTTGATTTTTTTGGGGTCAAAAACCCAAAATTTCGAAAATCTGAGATAACAGTTTTGTAGCGCCGTTTTTTGTCTACTAGACCATATAAAGAACTTTGAAATTGCTTGATAACTGTAGATTTGGTGAGCGTTTCAAGATTGCATGTTTTTTGCTCATTTTTGCTCGAACATGACCTCAGTTTGACCTCAATAACTCCTGACCTAAGGTGACCTAAGACTTGAAATTTGGTGTGAAGGTGTCAAATTGATGCCCGGGAAGGTACTGAAAATTTGGCGGCGCTGCGCGCCGCCGTTTTCTTGCTATTCAGGAAAAACCACAGGGGGGGGGGCCAAAATGGCCCCCCCAACGGGGCGAGGGTTAAATGAACTAGTTATGGCATTTTAATTTTTTGATTATCATTCATCGAATCTATTTACTCTATTTACAAGTTCTATTTACAAAAATACTGCCGTTCTGCCGACCTTCCCGCTCACCTAACGACGTGGATGAAAGATAAACCGGCGACAGTCGTTAAGCGTGACGCGCGTGCTGGTGACGTATGTACAAATCGTCCTACTATACGAGTTTGGACGTCCCTGGCGCCAGCCGAAACATCAGCCAGCGCTCAGTCGCGTGAGGCCTGTGAGGGGCCATCTGTGCTCATCAGGCCCACCCGCGGCGCGACCGGGGCTGAATGCCCGTCAGAGGCCGCCGATATTTGGAGTGATGGTGGTCATCGCTCTACCCGACTGCTATTATTGCAGCAGTCGACTGGGCCTCGGCTAAAATAGCTCACAGTCCTCTGAAAATATCTCTGATTGATGGTATTCTAAACAAGCCATCATCAAATAGAACTGGCTTATCGCTTTTACGCCAAGCTATTGAAAGAGTTATGAAGGAAGCGTCATGAGGGGGGGGGGGGCTTGCACAACCCCAGTACGTGTGGTGCTTTCACCAGGCTTTATGCCAAATGAAAAGGCAAGGGACGCGCGATGGCTTTGAAGTACTGCATCATGCTACGTTTTCGCACGTTTTTATGGCCTCAATGTCACCTTCTGAGATACTCTGAAGACGGAGACAGTTAACCCACGAGCCTCGGGGGGAGGGGGCATAAAGTTGCAAACCGTAAAGGGGGGCATAAAGTTGCCCCCCCCCCCTTACGTTTTGTGGAATATCTCCGAAATGAGCTACGAATGTGAAGCTTGGCATAGCTTCAAACGAGTAACTAGGCAATGTTTGAGAAAAGTTTGGTGGTTGTAGCACTGAAGATGACGTTACAGTGAGGTCATAAAGTTTTTTCATTTTCCGATATGGACCGCTTCTGATGTCGCTGAGCTGAGCATTCAACTGTAAATGAACTTAACAGCACCTGCTGTCATCCTAAAACATCTAAGCACACTTCCAACCGGTTCCTGACCAATAATAATCGGTCCTTTGTATTCGGTCTCGTATATCGGATATATCGTGAGGAGACTGAAAGTCGCAAATCTATAATTTGACTTCTGACGTCACTGTGACGTCATTTCAAATGTGATCGTTACCAAATTTGGACACAATCTCGGCTAGGTATTCAGGTAGATATGTTAACCCTATTACTGGTGGGCTTTCTGGACTACGTTTGCTGGTGGGGGGGGGGGGGGGAGGCCGATTCGCCCCCCTTGATATCTAAAAAACTAAGCGTCTTATCTTGATGGGACAAACGCCATTCGATTGCTCTCATCGTGAACTTTCAGATTGACTATTAAAGTTCAAAAAAGTTCAAAATTGGGGGTCCTGTAAGCAAAAGTTTTCGAAAAAATGCGTTTTACACATTATCACTAAAAATGCTATAACTTCTTTCTTTTTTGACCGAGCTTGATGAAACTTAAGGGGACCCTTCTTCATTAACTAGGCCTTCATATATATATTCCGGTATTTTGGATATTTCAAAAATCATAGGTGGATTCAGGTAAGCTAACTTGGGATGATGTTTTGAGTTTTTTGTCATGGTATGTCATGTGTCTTATGACACGATGTGTCATATATCATGTAAAATATGCAACGTGGGCACAAAATACACGTTTCGTTAAGCATAGACGGATTCAGGCACGCTAAGACGGGGGGCAGTACACTGATATTACCCCCTTTCTCAGGTACCTGGATCCGCCTATTCCAATATTTTCATTGTAAAATGACGTCTATAAAATGACCTAGTCTATAGGTGCATACATATGACCGGTGGTGCCACTGATCACCAGAACAAACCTAAGTAAGTCGCTGCTTAGCGGCAATTGTCGGAATAGTCAAAGCCAGCAGCGGCGGAACACCTTCAATTATGGTGGGGTACTGCCGACTTTTGGTCCCATTCTTTCCATGCAACGCCCATAGGGCTAATGTTAAAATGCCGAAATCAAGGGGGGCACGGTGCCCCGGTGCCCTCCCCGTTCCGCCGCCTATGGTCAAAGCTGGACCAAAACTACCCTCAGGAAACTGGTCCTGGAGACGCCTCTGCGGAAGCTAGAAACTAAAAAAATTGACACAATGTGCACAATGAATAGCAAGGAAAAGTCGCAAAATTTCGAGCCCTTTGAGATTGAGAATGCCCCCTCTGAATGTGTGACGTCAGCGCAGATCTAACGATTTTAAATCTTTTGCCAAAACGTTTGGTAGCACGCGGTGGTATATGCTGCTTTACGCGCAACAAGTGCCGCACTTTCAAATAAAGTCGCTAGGAACAGCGGAGATCTCAAAAAGTAAACAAAAGTAAAAGTCTAATATCTTGAAAACCGGTGAATATATTTCGATGAAATTTGGTAGATATTCGTTTTCGCTCTTTCTGAACCGAGCGACATCACTTTCATCCCAATTCATTAACTTTTTTGAAGGTGGGCCCCTTTAAGTTTCGCCTCTCTATCTCTTCGCGTTGCGACGATATCGTCGCAGAAGTAAAGGGAGGGGCAACTTTATGCCCCCCTCCCAGCGGTCGGCGGGTTGCGCGGGGGCCCAGACGGGTTAACGAAAGAACAATCACTACGTTCCTTATGGAGCAGACTCTTCAAACAACATCGAGGTTACAGATCTCCTTCACGTTTCGTGAGACCAAGCCTCCCGCTGCTGCCTCACTAGGACGTAGCCTCCTCAGACGTAGCTACCTTACCAAGACGAGGGCGTGGCCGCCTTACCAAGATGGAGCCGCGACTTACCTATGGTGGTGATGACCACGATGGAGTAGAAGAGTGCGCCGGCGAACGTCCACTGCTGGTGCTCGTCGTCCTCGCTGCCGTCCCAGCCCTTGGTCTTCATCGCCTCGATGAGCTGCTTCTCGAACTCCTTGAGCTGCCTGCCGACCATGGCCGTCCAGTTGTACTCGTGCAGCAGGTCCTGCTCCTGCGTCAGCGACCAGATGGACGAGGTGACGTTGCGCCGGATCTGCGACACGTTCCGCTTCACCTGCAGCTCATTGGTCGCCTCCAGCGCCTCGAAGGCGAAGGCGCCGATCACGCAGTAGCCCACCACCAGCGAGACGAGTCCGATGTGCGACACCAGGAACACCAGAATGTTCTTGGTGTAGTAGCCGCAGGTGCTCCACTTGGACGAGTTGCCGCGGCCCGTGGTCGACGGCGGCATGGTGGCTGTGGGACGCTGCCGCTAAACTCTATATACTGCACGTGGGAGCGTTCACTGGCAGCTCAGCGCGTGCGGAGAGCAGCCGCGCCGGCCGTCACTGAGTGCCTCTGGGGCGCCACTGATCGGGCATCGCACAGCTCTGCGCCGCCAATCGCCAGACGTCCCGGCCGCGCCGCGCCAGACTCGCCTGCGTCACCTCGCCGTCCACCCACCGCCACCGCAGCACTTAACCGGGAGAGCACGCGGCGTGTGCTACCGCTCACATGCTGTGCTCTTCACCGAAACCGTATCCACCGTTCAACCCGCAGAAAACCATTGCCTTTGCCAAGAGCAAACAGGCCCAAAAATACTCGTCTGCCGCGCGCTGGCGGCGGCGGCGCGGGCCCACTTGGCCTCGTGCCGCGCCGGGCGGGCGTGCTGCCGCGCCGGGTCGCCTATTTTGGGATTGGTGCCGGCTTCGTAGCCACTTAGCACCTGGCCTGGTGGTGCTGCGCATCACTGGTGACAGTGCGACGGCACCATTCGGGGACTGGGGACAGCTGGTGCACAATGGGCCCCACCAGGTCACCACCATCGGCCGCGGCACCGGACGGCCGGACGCGACCGAGACCCGCCGCGCTGCGCTGATGACTTTTCTCGGGTTTCAACACCAGAGCAGCGGGAAACGTTTGAGATGTGTTTTGACAAACAGCTGATGTGTGTCATGTCAAACAGAACACGAGAGAGATATTTCCTCGCCGCTCGGCATGAAAGCAGTAGGAGCAAAAACACTATATTTCACAAACCTCACACCATTCTTTCCTCCTTTTCGGCCAAACTTTAATATTTTTACTTGATGTTTCCTTGACGACAATTACGTAAACATACGAGGTTGTTTAACATCTTCAACGGAGCTTCATGAAGAGTTGTGTGACATAACCGTCACACTTTGGTTTGACCTCGTCACATGAATCAGAGCGCATTTGACACGTCCAGCAGTGAGCGTCCATAAATGAGAGGTAGGGAGGAGATAGAGGGGTGGCTGTGCGACAGGGGTGGGGTGAGGCAGTCGTTCCATATATTATGTACAGTTCAGTTGCTTCTATAAGGGTCGGTTAGCTGTCAGGATCATGCTCCCTTTGACGCATTTGATGTGGAATGTTGAGATTAAAGTTGGTCTATCGGGTCTGCCCGATATTGAACGCCCATTCTGATGGTTCGCTTTCATCTTCGTCAGCTTCTCCCTTCCCAGAGCTCTTACTTCTTACTTCTTAGGAAGTTTTTTTCTTTTTTTTTGGGTTGCGAACAACCTTTATTGTTCGGCTCGAGCACTACAACTCTCGGCAGTCCTGAAGAAGCGTTTGCATTGTCCCACTTCCCAATTTTCTTGCCTGTAGCTGCCGTCAGCAGTTAGGTCTCGACCTGAAAATGAAACCGAGTACGCGGTAAAACATTAATTAAGTCATCATTTTTCTTTAATCGAGGGAAAGCCGAATTAAGTTGCAGCTTGATATGCGATGTCTTAACCCGGCAGGCGGTGGGCCTACCAGCCACCTTCCGCGCGGTGGGGGGGGGGGGCATTTTTTTGCCCCCCCCCCCGTATCTCCGAAACAACTGGACGGATCCAGAAAATTCAAACGGCGTTCGATAGCCCTGTCAAATTTGTCGAAGGAAACCAAATTTCATTGACCTCGGGGTCACCGATGACGTCACAGGTCAGGTCAAAGATAAAATGTTTCACCGTTCACGGGGCTTCTAGGGAAAGCGCTATAACACCGAGTAAAACGCATTTTGTCGAAAATCAGCGATAAGGCGTCAGTTGTCCAGTACATATGTTGCTATTAGAGGTCACTGGTCATACCAGGTCAGGTCACAGGTCAGGTCACCAAAGGTCACCAAGGGTCACCACATGAGCCCAACTTTACTAAGGTTATGCGATGCATGTTTTATGGCCAGTTTTTCATTTCCAACTCAATGTTGTTGGTTATAAGACCATCAGGTACGGTTTATGTCACTTTCTGGTGGAGGTCAGGTCAAGGTCAGGTCAAAAAAGGTCAAATTTCAAAGTTGATGAAAAATTGATTTTGAAAACTTGACGTCATCAATTTTGAACAGTTTTTTCGCTATAACTTGGCCAAAAAAAGAGGTATCGATCTCAAATTTGGTATGTAGATAGAAGGCGGTAGGGACTATCACATTTATTCCGGTTTTTTCGAAATTCAAAAAACTTTTTGGATTTTTTGGCTATTATATTCAAAAAATCTTCATTTTTGGGGGTCAAAATCCAAAAAATTCGAAAAACCGAAATAGCAGTTTTCTAGCCCTCTTGATTCCACACCTTTTATGTCTGAAACATTTTTCTGTATCTCTAAAGCTGTAGGCCTGACAGCTCTTCCCGCGAAACCTTTTTTTGGGTCGAAAATGGCAAAAATGACGTCACTCTGACGTCATTAGCGGCCAACCCATCATAGCCTTTGGAAAAATTTTGGGTCACCATGTGCGCTAGCTGCTCCCGGGAGGGTACTAAAAGTTTGGTGACGATCGGCGCAGCGGTTCTCGAGATATATTGAAAAAACTAAAGGGGGGGCAAAAAAATGCCCCCCCCCCACCGCCTGGAAGGTTAACACTTTTCGAATATTTGAAAGCCACTCACAGCAGACCCGTAGCAGGTGTAGCATTCAACATGTGTCTGACTACCTGTATAGCAAAGCTACGGGAAATGTAGCGAAATCCAATCGCCAGTTAGGACGTTACCGATTGATTATTCAAACTCAACACTGATCTCTTGTGTTGCCTGTGATATGAAAGCAAATGCAATACGAATACAAGCATCGGAAAATACATGCACGTAGTTGCATGCATTCCTATTATAGGCACCTATCTGCAGTAAAAGTTCGGTATTTCTTAAAGAAAAGTTCCTATTTAGCATCGACATGGTAACTGGTAAGTAGGGGAGAGTGGAGCAGAATGGTCGACCCGGGGCAAAGCGGCCACTCTTCTTTTTTAATCCTCCACAACTGTTGTCAGCTCCAGTTTACGGTTGCCAATTACACTTCTCTTCGCGCTCGTTCAAATGAGCCAGACCGGGGTTTACGACCCGTCGCCATTTTTCTGTGACGGACGGAAAGGCATATTTTCCCAGTTTATTCTTATTATCCCAATACTCTTACGCTTTTTAAATATTATTTCATACAATAACCGTTTGGAAGTTTATTTAAGTGTTCTCATTCCTGCATTGATTGGCTATCGTACATGTCCTCTGCCAATGTTAATGCATTTTACACCACTAATAACAGTAGGCGGAACTATGGTCAAGCGTACCCATTTTCGGGAACGCATTTTCGTTCCCATGTTTGGGAACGATAAACCCAAATATGGGAACGCCATGTAGGCATTATTTATAACAAGAAAAAGAACCGTTAAATGACGTCCAAAAAATATAAAACGATCGTGAACCGCCTGGTATTTGTCTCAATATTGTTGGGAAAGAGTTTGATATTGTAAGGCCCATCGTAGTTTCAAATCGTTCTCCTATTTCTAAAGCAGTCCATCATCCGGGCCGCGAGCCCAAATTTAGGAACGCTCTCGTACACTGGCGCTGCAAGCGTTCCTTATTATGGGAACGGCGTACCCAAAATTGGGAACGATTCCACCGACGCCTTTCAGGGGCTCTTTTCATTAACAAGCATCACGTCCAACGCCGCAAATTATTGTTAACGCAACAATCATCAGATGACCTTTCCGGCAAGACCGTCGCATGTTTCGCCCGGTCTTCTGCGCTTTTATTCCCGTCGATCTCGCAGCGGGCACGGCCCCCTCTGCAGGATTACGTAATTCACAACGCTCAGCGTCAGCGATGTTCAACAAGGTCTTCCATACCTATATCCACCGTCCGCGCCAAGGGTGGAGACATGTCAAGCACCTGTCGGTTTATCACCGATAGTTGACGAGCACAAGGAAGTATCCAAAAATGGGAACGCTGAATATGTTACACCCTCAAAACACCTAGTCCCAATGAAAATCTAGTTTTTTCCTTTCTTGATGAGTGTAAGTGGCAAAAGGCCTGGTAGGATGGGCACGAGGAATGATCGAAATCAGCATAAAAATTATAAATAAGCCACACAGAGCGACCTATATAAGAGAAATTCCCCCAAAACGATCATGCTTAGAAACACGGAAGACAAAAACCACGCTAATGACGCTCCTTATAAAACAACGCTCAACAGCTAGCATCCAAATAAAATATGTCTTTCCGGGATGATAAAATACAGCTGAATAATTTTAAACCACTGAAACTGAGTTTACAACAGTAGTTCGGTAAAATCACTGACGTTCCATGCGGTCGTGCGCCCCGACACCAAATGTCAACAATATTACCCCGGGACTGTCCGCGTGTTCGCTTGCATATGTCAGCATCTGGTGTCGCTAGTATGAAACTTCATAACCAGGCGAAAATTATTATACTTGACCTCAAATTGTAAAAAAACGCTTCATTTTCCTTAAAATTGCAAGTTAAATGTAGTATAACCCATGTTTTCACCATTCCGTCATTTCAAAAAATCATTAAAAATATCATTGGACGGTCAATTTCCTTGTTCAACGGTCAGATTAAAGATAATTTTATAGAGACTTAGTAGATACTTAAATTAGCGTGCACTTTTTTGAGACGTGATGCACTAATGAGTTTTAGTGGGCGAACGGCCGAAAAATTACCTTCCGTTCTCATAAATGGGAACGCCCGTTCCCTCCGTTCCCAAAAATGGGAACGTTCCTATATTTGGGTACTCATGACCATAGTTCCACCTACTGATAACAGAGGCGAAATCTTTTTCTTTTCTTTTTGTCTCGGATGGTAGGCGCGGGGCAAAGTGGACGGGACAAACTGCACAGCTCCTAAATCCATAAGTTGCTTCAACTTGGACAGCAAACGCTAGTGATATTGCAATGCATCGTCATGCGTTCATTTCGGCGAAATTTTCGGTTATTTGAGTTACCAAAAATGCAATTAAATGTTTTGCATGAATGTCCTTTCTTTGTTTACCTAAATGTGGAGAGATAACAAACTAAACATCTATCCTCGTTTAAACCTTGCCACCATCAAATACTCTAGTCGTAAGTATATGAGGCACCTATTCTGTTTCTCATATCGGGGCTTTAGAAGTCGCCGGTGACTGGGACAAAGTGGTCAAAATGCTTAGGTTGAAAATTTTACCAATAGCCGTTTTCACGACGCGATATCTGGCGAATGCACCAAATTCTGACCAAGTGTGCACCTAATCTCTTTTATAACAAATAGCTTCATACAATGAGTTTATTTCAGTATTTCAATCGATGATAATGTCTGATGATATGACAAGGCAAGTATACAAGCAATAAGTAGAACCCTAGCTGACTGCTTCTAAGAAATACACAAAACCTAATTTCACCAAATCTGCACCTTAAGGCCGCCCCACACTGGACCTCGCATGCGGGTTGTGAGTTTTTGGGTTTTAGGGTTTCTTCAAAATCAAATCATACAATCTAAGCTGAGTGATCCACACTACCATCTAACAAGCGAGTCTGCATGTTTTTAGCTTGCGAGTGACCTTGCATCGCATTCCAAAAGTTGATTTTGAGTCAACTTTCGATTTTCCTCGCTGCGAGGTCTGCGAATTCTGCGAGGTTTGCGGGTTTTTCGTTGGAGTCGAATTTTGGTTCCTTGCGCTGGTATTGCGACTATATGTAAGTTTCTGAAGGTGTACCGGCTTCACTGCATTCATGGAATTACCATAAGTGAGCGGTCTAATCACTCTATGAATTAGTATTATGCCTGCAAACTCAAAACCCGTAAACTCGCAACCCGCATGCGAGTTCCAGTGTGGGGTGGCCTTTATCTTCACCAAATGCGAACCAAATGTCCTTCGTGAAAACAGCTTATATCTCCTACACCTACGTGAACGCATTTAACAGGTCCCGATTTTCCCGACTTTTGGGTCATTGACCTGACCTGGAAGGTCCCTAGGACCTCAAAATTGGGTATCATCGGCTTCCTCTCGCCAGTCAACACGCTCGTTTTTTTCCGCGAAGCTCTAGCTCGATCAGGGGCGAAACGGCAAGGGGGGCCCGTTGGACCCCCCCCCCCCCTTATACGTTCACGGCTAGAAAAACACCAATACGGGCGAGGGTTAAGAAGCGAAGAGGTGGTTGCTTTGCCCCACTCTCCCCTACGCGTACCATACGCTGCTGACGAGTGGCATCAAATGGACGCCTGATAGGCGTACTGTGCCGTCGAGCGCAGCTGTAATACGGCACAGCCTACCATTCAGCGGAGCGGCGGCGGCTCGTTTAGCAGAGCCTTAGAGTAGTCTATTTTACTGTCCATTTTACTGTCCGCTTACTGTCCGTCAGCTGGGCGCGTCGAGAGCGGTCGGGGCCGATGGGAT